TACTATCAGCTTTGCAGACACTTTCCTTCCGACTTTAAATTAGTGGCACGCATGACAAAGCAAGCAAGTAGGCAGACTTTTTAACAAACAAAACACGGGCGCCCCGGGGTGGATATGACGAAAGACGCCTTTTCACAAAGCAGGACAAAATTGGCAAGGAGCACCCTTGTTCATACCGGAATATTAGGGCCTGTTTAGATTTCAAAAAATTTTGCGCAGTATTTGTCACATCAAATCTTACGGTACATGCATGGAGTACTAAATGTAGACGAAAAAAAAACTAATTGCACAGTTGGGTGAGAAATCGCGAGACGAAACTTTTGAACCTAATTAGTTCATAATTAGACACTAATTACCAAATACAAACGAAATGCTACAGTGAGCCAAAATACAAAAATTTTTGGATCTAAACGGGGCCTTACTTTCAAGGACAGCTAATATAATACTTATATATAATACTTTTTTCATTCAATTCAGAATGCGCTGACCAAAGAAGATACCAGCCACCAGGTTCAAATTAACTCACCCTGCAGGCCACAGGATTCCAGACGAGTATGACGATTGGGATGGATAAGCTACTACCATGCATGCATTTGTGTCATTACAAATGCAGTACGAGTTTCTTTTGAATGATTTAAATTAATTATATGTATAAGCTTCGTTCAAACGACAGAGCGCCGTCCACCTCCGGTAAACCATAAAAAATTCTCAAAACGGTATAAATCTAGAACAAATCGTAAAATCATTCAACCTATTTACTCAGAGCCAGAACACAATCTGTACCCCATCAGCACCGCACTTGTTTGGTTGTGCAGCCACAGAGGGCTGCTTGCCAAACACCGGTCACAGGCCGTCAATTTCGGTTACCTGATGGCTAGGATTGATGCCTCGCAGGTGAGCTGCCTACCATGCCACCAACCAAACGTGTTTTCATGCCTGCGTGTTTACGTACGTGGGGTTATATTCTTCTCTAAGAGTTAAAATTTAAATCACAGTGTCCAAAAGTAAATGTACATCAAGGCATAAAAACTTGTGTGTCTAGTCATAAATAGCTATCATGGAGCATAGAAACCACTGAAATCATAAATAAATTCATTGATGCGTGGAAACATTCACACAAAAAAGCACGTAACCTAATCCAATATAACACAACCTATCACATTAACACATGCTTGTATGCACAAAATTCTTTAATTTTTTGGGACAATTCTTCACTATGGAGCAGGTAATTGTTGGGTGGATGTAGAATAATTTTAACTGGTGTTTTATAGGGATAGGGATAGAGATAGAGATAGAGATACAGATAGAGATAGAGATAGAAAACAGATGGATATGCTTGAGTAAGGAGAGAAAACGGAGAAGGGATGATCCGGTACATACGGTTTTAGGATGGTGTATTTCTGAGTGCATTTGGTGATGTGGACATAGCCAAGGTCATCTCTATGGAGCATGTAATTGTTGGGTGGGTGTATAATAATTTGAACCGGTGTTTTGTTGAGGTACAGATAGAGATAGAGATATGCTACAACTTGTTATACACATGCAGGCAAATCAACCAAAATCCTTTTAATTATTTTTTCACGACAATTCTTCACTGGAACAATCAAATCTTTTTCACCATTACATTGATGATATTTTTGTGCATGATTTGACATTCACTGTGAATATACTTTTATGAAATATTAAGAATAAATAAGATTTACACATTAAAGGAGATATTTCTATGAAGCATTTTTCAGTATAAAAACTCACAAGTGCAAGCATAAAATGTTAGGATGTTCTATTCTTCTCTAAGATTTAAATTTTGAAACAGTACAAGTTTGTGTAACCACTAAACATTTTACGGAAAAAGTTTTATATAAAACCCCACAAATAGAGGCATAAAAATACCAAGATGTGCTCTTCTTCCAAAAAATTGAAATTTTAATCATGGGTGGTTCGTGTGAACCATTGGAATTTTTGTACCACAAGTTCGTGTGGCTTCGTTTATCACAATTCTGATCATAGAAACACATTTAGTCAGGTATAGATACTCGCTTTTTTCTCTTGAATTTGAAATTTGAGTCCGACTAGTTATGACATTTTTATAGTTTTTAATACAGAAACTCATGTAATCGAGTATAAATAGACATGGTAGTTTCTATGCCTGTATTTGTGGGATTCTATACTCAGAGAACGCTTCATAGATCTTTTTCTACCTCTCTCTCTAAAAGTGTCAATCTATTATTTTTTTTAAAAAACAAAAGAATATATTCTCAATGGATCTCAAATTGATGTTAGCAATGTAGTGGTGAAAACCATTTCTCAATTGAATGTTTCAATTAAAAAGTTATCACTAATAAAAAGTGGATTGGATTTGGATGGGGTTGCATGCATGCATATGGCAGGTGGGAGTATCTTTTGTTCACCTTTCCGCTAAGATATTTCTATGCTCGGTGAAGAAGAAGTTTATGATTGTAGATTTTGGTTTTTATACATGCATGTAATGGTTGAACAACCATCTCAGACCATAATCCCGCAAATGTGAAACTCAAGTCTAAGGTTTCCTCAGCTACTCTACTTTTCTTCTTGCCCCATCCTCAAAACTTTGCTCGTTGGCCACAGGAGAAGATACCGTCAGTGCCTATGGGTGGATGCGCAGGGGTGAGGGCGACGGTAGTGACTTGGGCTATAGCCTACGCTCGCCAGGTGCAGAGGGCGATGGCAACGTTCGATGGGGCAGGAAGCGACAACATTGAGGGATGGGTAGCTGGCGCCGGGGTGAAGTGTAGAAGAGATGAGATCATCGTAGGGGAGAACCTATTACGCTTTGAGGCATTTTTTAATTGTAGGCTGAGCCCACAACTAGACCTTTACATTCTGCTTGATAGAGATAACTAAAGATCACTTCAGTTTTATACATCGCTCATGCCCTTCACATACATATCTCCTATTATTATCGATGGTAAACCTAACCACCTGACATACATTTTGTGTCCCTTCCATTTATTAGGTCATCTTGTGTTAATAATTTGAATTTTTTGAATTACATGGATCAAATCCAAGGTATTTACTAAAAAGTCATTGAATAATGAAACCTTCCATAATTTTCAATAAACAATTTTAAAATTTAAAACACAAAAAGTAACAAAGATAACAACAATTTTATAAACTTTATACATCACCCATGGTCTCCACTACAGAGAAAAGCAGCACCCTATTCGTCACCGAATTCGACATGGAAGGCGAGCAAGCCCTACTTGACCACCTACTGTTCATGACCTCGCCACGAGGTGAGCTTGGTGAAGACAAGTGTCGTTGCCATAAGGTGAACCTTGAGGGCTCACCGACCTCTTCACCTATCATCGTCGCCACTGCTAAGGTTTCCTCGACTACTCTACTTTTTCTCTCGCCCCATCCTCAAAACTTTGCTCATTAGCCATAAGAGAAGATACAGTCAACGCCTATCGGTGGATGTGCAGGGGTGAGGGCGACGGTAGTGACTTGGGCTATAGCCTATGCTTGCCAGGTGCTGAGGGTGATGGCAGAGATTGATGCGGCAAGAAGCAACAACGTCAAGGACTTGAGGGAGGGGTAGCTGGTGCCGATGTGAAGTGTAGAAGAGATGAGATCATTGTAGGGGAGAACCTATTAGGCTTTGAGGCATTTTTTCATTGTAGGCATAGTCCATAATTAGACCTTTTACATTGGGATAGAGTTATCACGGGACGGGTCGCGCGTCGAGGGAGCATGTGACCGGTCTTTAACCTCCTGCAGCGCCCCTCCTACGCCGCCACCTCCTCGCGCCCTCCACCACCGAACCTCATCCTCGTTCCCATGCTCGTCCTGGACCCCACCCCGCTGCCGACCACCACCCACGGCCCTAGCTCACCGAAGCTTCGACGAACCCTAGCGCCCGCGGCCGGTCGCCTTCTTCCACTCCCCCTCCCCCACCGCCGCCATCTTCTCCAACTCCATCGAGCTCGGCCGCCGCCATCTCCAACTCCGACGAAACCCCCCACCCCAACTTGGCTCGGCCACCGCTACCACCACTAGGGCCCCTAAACCGCCAGGTCCCTATACCCACCGCCTGGCCTGCTTGCCTCCCCCAGCCGGCCCCTTCTATAGCCGTCGGAGTTGGAGAAGAAAGAGGGGGGAGAGGCTTACTGGAACCCTAGCCACCGCCGTCGTCTTCGTCTCTGGTGATCACAGATCCAGGAGAAGGAGGAGGAATCAACCTACCCGGGCGCGTGCGAGGGCGTCGCGCAGTGGCGCTGCGTGGAAGCGGTCGCGTGCGAGGCTGCGATGGCGTCGCGACCGTCGCGGTTAGAATTTTTGTTTACATTGTGGCTTGGCAGAGATAACTGAAGTTCACTTCCGTTTTATACATCGTTCATGCCCTCACATACATATCTGATATTAATTAATATCAATGGTCATTCTAACCACTTGACATACCTTTTGTGTTCCTTTCAATTGTTAGGTCGTCCTGTGTTAATAGTTTGAACTTTTTGAATTAAAGTGGATCAAATAAATAGGAGACCTCACAGTAAAAAACATAAATATACAATATACACAATACACATATATACTTATAATAATAGAAAAGGAAAAAAAAGAAAAGAAAAAAATCTGTTCACCTCCTTCCCTGGACCGCGTGGGTAACAAGAAGATGGTGTGGTGATGAATTGCGACGTCGGGGAGATGTTGTAGGAGACGAAGATTCTATTCGCCTTCCCCTTCTCTCTGCTCCACTGCTCTTTATACTACTATACTACTCCAGTTCTCACCTTCTCTCTCTGCTCTCACAGTCTCACCTGACTCCCTCCTTCCTGCCCTCTCTCTCTTGATACCACCGCCTCCGCTCCCCTCCAAGCCTCTCCTTTTTCCACCCTCCGAGGCTCCGACGTCCTCCGACTTCCAGGGCGGCGCCGGGCAACAACTACTTCTTGGTCACCGAGCCAAAAGGGGATTCTTTTTTCGGTGCTCGCTGATCGATTGATGAGCGGCGGGCGGCGGCGATGAGGGCGGATCTCAGCACCATCCAGCAGACGCTCACGCCGGAGGCGGCGGCGGCGCTGGCGCGGGCCATCGACGAGGCTGCGCGGAGGAGGCATGGCCAGACCACGCCTCTCCACGTCGCCGCCGCGCTGCTCGCCGCGCCGGCCGGGCTGCTGCGCCAGGCGTGCGCTCGCGCGGCCGCCGCCGGTGCCGGACCTGGCGCCGGCGGTGGCGCCGGCGGTGCGCACCCGCTGCAGTGCCGCGCCCTCGAGCTCTGCTTCTCCGTCGCCCTCGACAGGCTGCCGGCCGCGGCCTCAGCGGCGGCGGCGCATGCGGCGGGGCCACCTGTGTCGAACGCGCTCGTCGCGGCGCTCAAGCGCGCGCAGGCGCAGCAGCGCCGGGGTTGCCCCGAGGCCGCGCAGCAGCCGCTGCTCGCCGTCAAGGTCGAGCTCGAGCAGCTCGTCCTCTCCATCCTCGATGACCCGTCCGTAAGCCGCGTCATGCGCGAGGCCTCCTTCTCCTCCTCAGCCGTCAAGACCACCATCGAGCAGTCGCTCGCGTCGCCCTCGCCGCCGCCCTCCGCTGCCGCCGTCTCTACCCCGACGGTCGCCGCGACTACACCCCTGGCCCCCTCCCCCTCTCCGCTCCCGCGTGTCGGCCCAGCCAACGCCTACATCAACCCTCGCCTTGCGGCCGTTGCAGGCGGCGGCAGGGACAACGCCTACATCAACCCTCGCCTTGCGGCCGTCGCAGGCGGCGGCGGGGACGACGCGCGCAAGGTGCTCGACGTCATGCTCAAGCCGGCGCGCCGCAACCCGGTGCTCGTGGGCGACGCCGGGCCGGACGCGGTGCTGAAGGAGGCGGTACGCAGGATCCCGACGGCTGGCTCCCCTGCTCTTGCCGGAGCGAAGGTCTTGCCGCTCGAGGCGGACCTCGCCAAGCTCGCCGGCGACAAGGCCGCCATGGCGGCGAGGATCGGGGGCCTGGGCGCGGTGGTCCAGAGGCTCCTTGCGGACCACGGCGCCGTGGTTCTTGATCTTGGAGATCTCAAGTGGCTGGTGGACGGGCCGGCGGCAGCAGCGTCAGATGGGGGCAAGGCGGTGGTGTCGGAGATGGCGCGGCTGCTGAGGCGGTTCGGAAGCGGTAAGGTCTGGGCCGTCGGTACAGCCGCCTGCGCCACCTACCTCCGATGCAAGGTCTACCACCCAACCATGGAGGCCGAGTGGGACCTCCAGGCCGTGCCTATCGCCCGCAGCGCGCCGCTCGCCGGCGCAGCTCTCAGGTGTGTTTTTCTTCGCTATTTCGCCCTTTGTTGCATCTACCATGTCTGCTGCTGTTCTTGTTATTTTTGTTTTTGGTGACTCAAACTTGTATCAGTTTTTCCGTTGTCTTGGAGCAGAGTATGTCTTGGACCAGAGTAAAATAATAAAATTAATTTATACTTGATAACCAAAATTTACTACAGTTGAATAGTTCATCATGATTGCTAGTACTACTCAAAAAAGTTTGGTGCCTTTTCTAGGTTTCTAATTTTGTACTCTGTGATCCAAAACAAATGATCTAATCGATTTATTGAAATTTATAGGCCTGGAGGCACTGGAATTCTGGGCAACTCAGTGGGGATGTTATCGCCTACGCTCCGCCCTATGCCGTTGACACCAACAGCACTCCGATGGCCACCTGGGGCAGGGAGTGACCATCCTCTGATGGCTAAGCCAGCCATGTGCCTGTTTTGCAAGGGTAGCTATGATCGTGAGCTTGCTAAGCTCGCAGCGGAGCAGAAGGAAAAGCCAGCGTCACGCCCTGAGGCTGTTAAGCCTGGTTTGCCACACTGGATGCAGCCCAGCAGTGATCAACCACAGGTTTGTGTCTTTTCTATGTGTTAGCTCGTAAAAGCAGCTTTGGTTCTAATGGAAAGGTGACTGATATAGTTATTTATGCTTTCACAGACCAAGGAGCAAGAGTTGAAACAGAAGGAGGCTGCCGAAGAGCTTGAGAAGAAATGGCGTGAGACTTGCGCCCATACCCATGGTAACCGTGCTGGGGCGCCGGCTCTCTCCTTGCCGTTGGCTGCCTTAGCCCCACGCCCGCCCGTTGAGCCCAAGCTACAACTTGCCAGGGGTGGTGTTCCCACCCTTAAGATGAACACCAACTGGGAGAAGCCTGAGGGTACCCCTACGTCTGAGCTTCGTAGGAGTCCGCCAGGCAGCCCAGTGAAGACTGACCTTGTGCTTGGTCCCTTGGATCCTGGTGCTACTGTGGAGAAAGACCAGAAGGAAAATTACACAGAAGGGCTAACTGCTATGCAAAAGGCTAAGATAGCTGGAATCTCTGATATCGAGTCTTTCAAAAGGCTCCTCAAGGTGCTCACAGAGAAGGTCAGCTGGCAATCTGATGCTGCCTCAGCAATTGCTGCTGTTGTAATACAATGCAGAACTGGCAGTGGGAAGCGGCGAAACATTGGGACAAGAGGCGACATATGGCTCCTGTTTGTTGGTCCTGACCAGGCAGGCAAGAGGAAGATGGTGAATGCATTGTCTGAGCAGATGGTAAATGCTCAACCAGTGGTTATAAACTTTGGTGGTGACCCTCGTTTTGGCAAGGATGGTAATGCAGGTTTCTGGGGGAAAACATCACTTGACCGGGTCACTGAGGCAGTTCGGCAAAATCCATGTTCAGTTATCGTTCTTGAGGGCATTGATCAAGTGGATGCTGTTGTGCGGGGAAAGATCAAGCGTGCAATGGAGACCGGTCGCCTGCCAGACTCCCGGGGCCGTGAGGTCAGCCTTGGTAATGTCATCTTTGTTCTCACCACAGATTGGTTACCTGAGGAACTGAGGAGACCAAAGTTTGAAACATTGCTCCAAGATGAAGGAAGGATGTTTGAGGTAGCAAGCTCTAATTGGCAGCTAGAGCTTTCTATTGGGGACAAGCTGGTTAAGCACCGAGCGGATTGGCTATGTGATGATGCTCGTCCAGCAAAGGTAGCCAAAGAATTGTCCGGTGGGCATGGTCTATCGCTTGACCTCAATTTAGCAGTTGGGGCATTGGATGACACTGAGGGCTCACGGAATTCCAGTGATCTCTCTGTGGAACAAGATCAGGAGAAAGGGCACCTTGCAGTCAAGTGTTCAACACCAGCCCCTGACTGTGATCTGTTGAATCTCGTTGACGATGCCATTGTGTTTCGGCCAGTTGACTTTGCACCATTTAGGAAGACTGTCACAGATTGCATATCGGCAAAATTCGACTCAGTCATCAGGAGCAGCAACTCATTCAGAATCGATGAAGACGCTGTTGATCGGATGGCTGGCAGCATCTGGCTCACTGACGAGAAGCTTGAAGACTGGGCCGAGAAAGTGCTTATGCCCAGCATCGAACGATTGTGGCGCAACGTGAAGCATTACAACGGCCGTGCTGTTGTCCGTCTTGCAGCAGTCACCGACAAGGCATTGCCAAGGTGGGGAGGGGGCCGAGAAGGGCTACCAGCGACGGTACCGATCACCATTGATGGCATGTAGGGAGGGAATTGGGGGAAGTACATTCTTTTGTATGGTAGGTATGTAAATATTGGGGAGAAACTCGGGGGAGGTTACTATATGAAGCACATAGGGGAGGAAGGGAGAGCATCCCTTTGACTACCAAATAGGCATGGAGGTTATAGATTTTATAACAAAAAAGATGTGGTCTATAGTTTTGATAATATATGTAGCTATGTTCCTTGAAACAAAAAAAAGGTCTCTCTTTTGCACTTGCTAATGTTGCAAGGGTTTTTTTTAGTGCAAGTAAATAATGATGTAGCCCTCGATCAAACTCAGATTCCTAACAGAGCAGTTGTGATGCATAAACTGTTGAGCTTGCATCGAGTGGCAAAGATTTGACATGTGAATATATGGTTTTTCTTTTCTGGGAGCTCTCTAGAGGTGTTTGCTTTGTTTGATGTGAATGTATCAATACATCCTCCTCAGCTTCCTGTATGCCTTGGCATTTCTGTGGAACACGAACACTACTGTTGGAAAATGGGACACATATTCAAAGTTGTCTTTCGGCTGCAGAATAGTAAGGTCCAAATGGATTAAATGAAGAAACACGTGTGGTCCCTCTATTTTTCTTCAAAAGTTTATTGCTATAGCCGACTTCTATTTTCTTTATCACATTTCGCTCAGTTCCCATTTTTCGTGTATCGTTTTCAAGGTTGAGCTGAGTGATGAATCTCAGCCATGCTGCTGTCCATGTCGAAACCTGATTTCCAATAATTCCACCAAAAAAATGTTTTTAAAGTAAGTACATCCATAAAGGTGTTCCTGGTTTCTCATTACTTTACATGTGACAACATTTCTCCTTTATATCCCTTTTTGAGAGGTTAAAGGTTGACCACACAGATCACTACTACCACTTGAGTTTATTTCCACAAAATAATGCTGTGGTTCGTCTTTTATACACCTGTTGCTTCCTCTTGAGTTTATTTCCACAAAATAAATAAATAAAATGAAATCATCAGAGATTTTGTTTTTACCTTTGGTTTGTCATGTGGCTAATTAGGTGGTGCCCTGCCACCCACACCTAGTCTAAGCTATTTAGGCCCTGTTTGGATGCAAAGTATTTTTTAAGTATTGAAGAAATACTATGATTTTATAAAATACTTTGGTTTTTAAAAGCTACTAGGTGTTTGATGCAACAAATCTTGTGGTCTTTAAAACCATGGTTTTGTCAAAACTATAGTCTTTATGGAGTTTTAGAAACTCCACCCATGACCTCTTTTTTTCTAAACTATGGTTTTGTGTCTCTTTGACTTAGAAAACCACAATTTTGTGATACTACAGTTTAAAAAAACGACATCATCCAAACAGGCCCTTAATGTGTGTGAGTCAAGTGGCATGGCTTGATCCACCAACACCACACTTATTTGGAACTGAGGCATCTTGTTGTTTTCTCCATGGAAAAATTCCTCCTGGTCCAAAACCAAATGGCCACTTTTTGGCCTAATTGCGGGCCCACACTGATGTGGCAGATCACCAACTCGAATCAACTTGGAAACATTCCATGCATGTTTATATTATTATTAGTAATAATGTTTAAGTGCTGATTAGAGGCCTGCCTGCCTGAGTCACCCTGAGAAAATTGTACCCCTGAAACTCTCAGCCAGCAAATTAGACTGCCAATCACCAGCTCACCAGAAGGATCTCTGGTGTTGTTAGACGCGGGGCCCATCTGTCAGCGTTTATCGCGGGGTACGTGTAGCCATGGCCAGTCTTATTTAATCCATCAAGTTGGGTCTATTATTAACTTTGATCTGTACTTTGCAGCCCTCCGTCGACCGGTTTGTTTATCTGATCATGCTGGGTCACTAAAGCTTTGCGAAAAGGCACGGCGATTGTTTAAAGCTCCTTTCCATGTGACAGAAAGATAAGCTTGGCGGTACGCAGGTCTCCCACCATTTTTGTCTTATATTGACATGGGAGGGAGAGGCGTTCGTTGTTGGCCTGTTGGATCAGCATCAGCATCCTTCTCAGACGGCGGCAGATAAACTTGGCTTTCAGAGGGTCCACTTGTCACTGAATGATTGGGTGGCCATACCGCTCATGCAGGGGTCGTAGGTAATACCTAATACGTTTTAGTCAGTCACCATGCATGGTGGGGGAAAGGTTAGCAAGCCGTCTGACTGGGTGGGCACTATCAGTTGCCTTTTGCGCAGGCTTTTTAGCTGCTAATGGGTTCATGCATCTCCTTCTCTTTATTTATTTATTTATTTGTTTGTTTGTTTGTTTGTTATTGATTGATTATTGATCTCCCCGTCGCTTGTGTGTGACTTCACCTTTTTATGGCCCTCTTGTCCCATGTGGAGCGAAAGTGATCATCATGAAGCAACAGCTTGGCTTTGAATGGTAGTTTTCCTTTTGTTTCAACTCTAGATAGAAAGTGGAGGATGGAGTGAAAAGATTATGTCTTGCTTTTTTTTATAGCCTAGAGCAATTTTAGCAGGGTCTCTACTTGAGTCATCATCCTACTTTTAAAGTACCGAGAGAGAAAAAATTACACTCCAGCGTATCCTCGCTAGAGCTCTCAAATTTGAGAGGGCCTTCAAAACCCCCTCTCATACGTCTTCTGAAGGGCCGTGGTTGAAGTCCTGGAACCACCGTTTATGGTGGTTTTCTATGCGCACGCTTCTTTCTTTCTCGCTTGCTAGCATGGCCGTGTTTGTCAACAGGGAGAAGATAGATGAAGAAGAAATGTAAGAGAATGACAAGTGGGTCATATGTATCATTCTAAGGCAGTGTTCGGATCCGGTGACTAAAATTTAGGAGGTATGTCGGGAGGATGTTGCATGGGGTGTTCGGATACTAATAAAAAAACAAATTACATAATCCGTCAGTACTCCACGAGGCGAAATTTTTAAGCCTAATTAATCCGTCATTAGCATATGTTTACTGTAGCACCACGTTGTCAAATCTTGGACTAATTAGGCTTAAAAGATTCGTCTCGTAAATTAGTCGCAAACTATGCAATTAGTTTTGTAATTAGTCTATATTTAATACTCCATGTATGTGTCCAAACATTCGATGGGACAACGACTAAAATTTAGGAGGGGCAACCAAACACCACCTTAGAATAAATTTGAGGGTACCCGCAAAACAAAGAATAAATTTGAGGGTTTTGTTTTAAGGGCTTCTATTGGAGTGCAACCTAGAAAACAGAACCCTTAAACATAAGGGGAGCCCTTAAATAAAAAGTAGGGACCCTCTTTTAAAGTCTACTGCTAGAATTGCTCCAAGGATTTGACATGGAAGGTTTTCTATGCCGAAATTTTGCCAAAAAGAAAAAGAAGTTGAAAAAGATAAGACCACATAACAAGCTGCAAGGAAGTTTTCTTATTCCTCTTGTTTCTTCCGTTCTTCCTGCCGCTCCCTCTTCTTTTTTTTCTTCTTCTAGAAAGATGAAGGAGAGGCCAAAGGAAGGTTGATCGCAACATAAGCTCCACCGTTGGATCCGCCCCGGATCAATCAGCCTGTTCGCTTGTTGGTTTCAGCCAGGGCTTATCAGTCAGCCAACAGTATTTTCCTCTCACAACAAACCAGCACCAGCCGAATTTATCAGCTCAGAAACCAACCAACGAACAGGCCGAATAACCTAAGTCCAACAATCTGTCCACGCGCATATACATTAGGCTTTTAGTGGAGCAAATTCATGTCAGAGTTACAGGCAAACAAAACCAGGCCCTGAGCCGGGACACACAGCTGAGGTCTTGGGAGGAACATGGATGGGCTTCCAGAGCATGCACGTAGGGTGTGTTTGGTTGCCCGCATAAGGGCAAACCAGGCTCCCGGGATGCAGCCTGCTCATGTTTGGTTCCCTGGCCACCCTCCCGAGCCAGGCTCCGCTCGTGCAAAAGCCCCCTTCTAGCCTGGCTCGTGAGGAACGCCCAAATCGGCCATTTTTGTTTAGCCTGGCTCGCTCCGTGCTCCCGCGAGCTCTGGCGCGAAGATCCTAGGGTTACCTCCCCCGTTCCCGCCATTCACCGCCTATATATCTTTCCTCCCGCCGCCTCCCTCTCTTCTTCTTCTTGTCGCTCCCCGTCTGCGCCGCTGGTAAGCTCCACCTCCTCTTCCTCCTCCCCCCGGTGTTCTTGATGGATTCGTGGCCTCCTAATGCCTACCCTCTCTCTCGATTTGTTGCAGGTGCCGTGGATTTGCGTCCTCTCGAAGCAAGTGAGTTTTTCTCCTTCTCTTTCTCCATTTTTTCTATGCGATTTGAAACCCTAGGTCACCATTGTTTGTTGATCTCGCTGCAGGCACACCAGATCTGATTTCTTGGCTGTTATTGCGTTATGGATCCTTGTTCTTAGGTCTTATTTTTTTTCTTATTTTTTTCAAGTAAAAATCCTATTTTGTGTATGCTAATCCTCTTTTCTTTGCTTGTGTGCTTGCAGATCTGAGCTCCCTCACCTGCTGGGTTGGGCTTTTGCTGGTGCTGCTGCTTGTTGACGTGGGTATTTTGTATATCTACTCCCCCTCTCGCCTCCCCCCTAATCTGTACCGTGCGATAGTGAGTCCTGCGTTCTTGGATTCGGATGCATGTCCTACTTTGTGAGATTATGAGCAAGTATATGAAGTTGCCATTTTGTCTGAGCTATTGTCCAAGTTTGTGATGATTCCTTTTGTCCTGAGCTATTGCCTTAGTCTATGATGATGCCTTTTTTCTAAGCTATTGTCCTAGTCTGTGATGATGAAAGTTTTATTTTTAGCATGTTCTAGTATATGATGAATCCTTTTTATTCATGGACAAATGCTATTTTTTTTCATCTGATACTACACTTATGCTGAGGCTTTTGGCACGTGCAATGATGATAAATTTTCTGTGATACTACACTTATGCTAAGGCTTTGGGCATGTGCAATGATGATAAATTTTCTGTGATACTACACTTATGCTGAGGCTTTGGCATGTGCAATGATGATAAATTTTCTGTGATACTACACTTATGCTGAGGCTTTGGGCATGTGCAATGATGTTTTTTTCTTGAC